GGAGCAAATGGCTCAACCCAAACAGCCCTGCCAATTTGTGGTGTTTGATAAGGGGTGGTGGTAAATAAAAACATACACAAGAATGGCTGTGTGATTAACCAGCTCAAACTCTGGCTGCTGGTCTTGTCTTGACCAAAAGGGATGAGAGTATGTGGTAACGTCAGGGGACAAAGAATTTGGTATCCAGAACACGGCTACTTGCTCCGTGCTCACTTAGGTGTTGTTGGCAAGTTTCACAACTGGTTTGTGTCAGTTTAAGTCTATTTAGAAAGTTATATTTCTATCTGCTCTGCTCTATTTGATAGCACAGACATGGGGGTTTTTGCATTTAATTTCATACTGTGAGATCCTTAAATGAATTGCCAAAAAAAAAACCCCAGTGTGATCTTGATAGTTTTCTTCACATTATAAAAGAAACTTCCAGCATGCCCCAGAACAGTAGGGCATGGATTAAATGCAGCCAGGTTTACTTGGAAAAATTACTTCAGCAGGGGGACCCAGGCTGGAATTTCAGAATACTACAAATAACAGAAAATCCATGCCTTGTTCCTCAGTCACTGCCCTCACTTTCTTGGTAGCACACTGGTCATGCTTAAACATCAAATTCCGTGTCTCAGCGTTGCTGTAACATTGTCTAGTATTAATCCAGGCAGTCATGTGCCGTGCTTTATGTAACGATCCATACTTTCACACCACAGACACACAGCCAGAAAAGGAAACACATTGATTTAGCGCTCAGTAATCCTTGTTTAATCCCCAGTCCTTTGGTTTACATCACTAACATGGCTCCTGCAGTAGTCAGTGTTCTATCTTTGTTCTTGGCAGACTGAATTAAAGGAAAGATTTATTAATTTGTAAGTTGGCTTTGTAGATGCGTCTTAAATGTGCTAAAACCCAAAGCAGTCCAGAAGCCATTATTGTCTTAACTATAAAAATCTGCTCTTTAAAACTCAAACCTTTGCAACAATCCAAGTCAAGCTGCAGAGAGTAATTTATTGGCTTACTAAAGCAATTGCATTGTATAGGGCTAAATTTAACAACTGTCTCATTGCAGGCCCTCAGCCTACTTCCTTTTCCACTCATGACTACAAATACAATTAATCTCCTCTTTCCTTGCTCATCTACACCCAGGACTGCAATGCTTTATGGCTCATGTACTGAGAAGAGAAAGGGGTTGGAACTAATAGATTAATTTGCAAAAAATGTTAGAGGGTCAGAGATCACCATTCATTCCAGTGGTGATAAATATTCCATGTAATTGCTGCACAAATGCTAGTGCTTGGGATTTATTTCTATTAGTTTACAAATGCTGGTTGCTTTCTTCCCTCTCACAGTGCCAAAAATGGTGATTCTTGGGAGGAAGCCTTTTGTAATAATTTAGCTGTCATCACCGTCACTCCTGAATCCTCTAGGCCAGGTACAGGCTAGCCCTGTTCCTTTCTGGCAGGTGAGATTCCAGAGCATAACTCCAGCAGCTTAAGGTGGCTCTTCACTCACAACCATCCTGCTAGCGAGTCAGCTGAGATCTTGAGCAATAGCCATGCTCATGTTAAAATTGTAAAGAGCTTTTTTTTTTTTTTTCCCCGAAAAAAAAATAATTGTTAATTTCCTAGATGGAATCAGACGACTGTATTTTACATTCTGTAGCAATATAGACTGTCCTTCCTGTTGGAAATTATTCTGCTTTGGGGAAGTCCAGGTCAGTTCCTTAATTAAGCAAATAAACTTTTAGAAGACAAGTAATTCACTTTCAAACTTTAGGCTCAACTCTTAACTCAAACTAATGTAGTCTGGTTGCTCATTTCAAGGAAATGGTAATGTGAAAAAAAAAATCCCTTTAGTGAGTGTTTGAATAAAATCAATAGTGATGTAAAGTTTTAATGAATTAACTGTTGTAATGTGCAAAAGTGTCACATGGATAGTGCTTTGGTAACGGGAAGTAAATAAGCATAGGATGGATTTGTTCTTGCAAGCAGCTCTGCAACATGTATCCTTCCTCTTGAAGCTGATGAAACTTTTACCTCTGTGTCTGTCTACTAGTAAGATTACAGATGCAGTTCATGCCCTCACTTTCAATTTATGCTTGCATGACTGAGTTTATTTTTAAATCTACCTAGTCAGACAAACGTAAATATTTAAGCCCCAGCAAAGGGCAGTAGGTGCGAAGGCACATAGTGATCTTTAGAATATCTTCCAGAAGACCTATTAGTAAATCTTAACATCCCCTGTGAATCTCCCTAATTACTTAGACACCAATGTTGACAGTAAATGGCTTTTTTTCAGAGAAAATAATATACTCAACCGTTCCAAAGTTTCAGGCTCTGATCTAATAGAACTCTTATTAAGAAATGGGGTATTAATCCATTCTTCCATGAGGGCTGCCACTGTGCTGGTATCATAGTATTTGCATTAAAAATTATTTCCAAGCTGTTCCCCCACCCCCAGGGCCACTGCAGAGCAGGTCTCAAGTCCATTGGGAAGAAGGGGGGGAAAGGAACTTTTAGTATCAGGGATGCACAGCTGAGAGAGGAAACTGAGTGTGAGTTCAGAATGCAGAGGGACCGACTATGTGCCTGGGTGGTTGGGATTGTTTTGGTTTTGTTTTGAGTGTTGTTTGTTTCTGTTTGTTGAGTGATAAGCTGTGGAAACTCAAGTTTTTCTGGGAAGCTAAGTTTCTCAGATAGTCCAAGACCATGTTGGGCTCCAGCACTGAGCAGTCCTAGGCCTGTTGTACCAGGAGTCCCAGGATGTTCCCGGCCGTGATCCATGCAAAACAATGGTAGCAGCTGTGCCTCTAACCTCATACCTCAGAGTTGAGGGGGGAAAGCACCAATTTTTGACACAGGACACCTAGATCTGTGCTTGAGGAGATGCAGAGATGTTTTTTGCACCTTCCAGCGCCCAACCATCAGCTTGACAGTGCTTCTTAGGGCATTTGCCTTCATCAGTTCTCACTTCAAGGTTGTTGATTAAAAAGGTGCAGTGATTACACAGGTTAAAGCACAGGGCACTGAGCAGATGCAGGCTTGGGTTCTACCACTTATTGAATGTTTTACTAACTTGTTTATAATCTAAGTGGAGAGGAGACTAAAGCCCAAGCGTGTATCTACTGCGTTATGTACTTTTAAAAACTGACTGTGAAATTGTTCTCCTAGAGCAGAATTTCACTGAGTTCTGATTGCAGAGTGCCACTCAAATGGGAGACGCCAATCTCAAGGCTCCCTGACAGTCTTCATGTGTAGTGTAGTACGAGACAGGCCAGGCAAAAGGAATTCTCTTTGCAAACTCCCTATGACGGGTCCCTGGACCCCACACATGACAATATTTTCCATATTTATTTGTTTGCTTGTTTATCTGTGTCAATTCTGACGTGCTTTAAGAAAGGGGAAAAGGAAGAAAAAGAAAAGGTTTCTTCCAGCAGCAGGTCTGCAGAGAAGGACCCTGTCTCATTCTGTAAGGCTGCTGGCCCAGAGCCTCTTGTACAGGGTAGGTAGCTGTTCTGAGTGGGAGGTGGATGATGGGTGGAGATGCAGCCACTTACCATCTATGTAACTCTGTCTGGTAGATGTAATGAACACCAGCACCTCCCCTTGACTCAGGATCACTCAAAATTAGGCTTTAACTTTCAACTGCAGTGTGATCCTCCATGCAGCTACCAAATAGTAAAGAAATAATCAAATTAATATATTATTACTCCAAAATGTGTAAGGCCAAGTTTTATTTCTGAAAGCCTGGCAACAGTACCCTGTTTCTGTGTTTTAACAGGAAGAACACTGGGCTTGGTGCTTGAGACTTTTAGTCCAACAGTGTTCTCTGCCTGTAAAGCACAGCTGGATGGCAGACCCAGACCTGAATTTGCTTGTATGTTTTCCCTGAAATAATTTCTAAAGTCTTTTGATATTACTGTTCATTACAATTCTCGTGACCTTCTTCTTTGATATCCAGCTCTGTACAGAGGCAGAAACAAATATTTCCAATAAAGTAGCAACAGCGCACAGCCTGGACACAAAACACTTCAGTTTGCAAAGCTGAGTTCTAGTTCCCAGGTCATCTTCTTTTTAACAAGCTGGCCCTTGCTAATTGCTTCAATGGGACAGTTGTAACTGTGACTTTGTGACTGAATACCCCAGTGAGAAGCCTATGAGCAGACTGTTGTATGTCTGATATGCTTTAAAAGACTGCAAATGCTGCTTCATGATTCAAACAAAAAAACCTTCATGAATGAATTTCGGCTTCCGTGACTGTAGAGATGACAAGTTAATGGAGCCATTGACACTGTGTGGATGAGGATTTATCCATGCAGTTCCCCTAAATGTTAATGGGAGTTGTGTAGCTGAATCCCAGACTTGCCATGCTGAAACTCAGCCCTAACTCTCCAAGGAGAAGGGCGCTAATTGGATTGCTGAGTTTAAATCCTTCAGCTAGTCAGTCTATGGAAAGGATTTAGCACTGGCTCTGTGAAAGGCTTTACATAGCTCTGCAGTGCAGTGCAGGGAAAGATTTCCCCCCCCCTCCTTTCTTTCTTGTGATTAATTGTGAGGCTTGAGGTGACAGGAGACATAATGAAATTCATAAATGCCAAAGGCCGTCCCTAGTCACATTCCTGGCTGTTGGTTTAAGTTAGAAACTGACAGAAGTGTGAACAAATCAAGGTTGTTCTGATAGCCTTTCAGTTACAGGGAAGAAAAAGTAACTGACAATGAGAAACCACTGGAGGTGGTTTAACAGGTATAAATTTTGGAGAAAGAGTGATATTTTACACTGATTCAGATTCCTGGATACATAAATGACTCAGAAACAGACATATTCTGCCCCCGCTGCAGTCGGAGGGATTCTGGTCCTTTTTCACAAAAGATGTTGGCACAATTTATTTAAGCAACCTGCCAAAGAAAAGCAGTTGCAAAACCTGTAGCAGAAAGTGACTTGTTTTGTCTTTGTTCGTGACTGGCCTTGCTCTGCTTGTTACGAGTTTTAAAAATCCACTCCTAAACTTGCAGCTTTGAACAAGCAGCATAAAAATTAACCTAGGACTCTCACTTCAGCCTTGAAATACAGTCCCCTGCCTCCCCACATCCAGGTCTGAATCACAGCGCAAGAATTGCTTCACCAGTCCTGCTTTTTTCCTTGTCCCTGACAGTGTAGAACATGTCACGTCTGCGTATATATTGACCAGATACTGATGCGGTGATCCTTTGAGCCAGCTGCCAGCAGTCTCTCAGTGGGGTTTTTGTGATCTGAGAAGGACACACAATGGACAGTTGCTGTGTGGTAGTCCAGCACTGCTAAGGGCTTCAGTTTTTTCCAGCCAAAAATCCTGATGCGATGATCCCATCCTGCTGTTGCTAAAATCTTCTTGTCTGGACGGATGGTGATATCAGATATGCCAGCGTTGACAAGTTCCTGTGTTTTGCAAACCTGTGTGAGAAAGTTAAAGATGAGCTCAAATTGTTTAAAACAAACAGAAGAAAAAGGAACCTTTTGGGATTTTAGAAGGTACAGTGCCCACCCCTATACACTGGTGTCACACAGGTAGTATGGAGCCTTTCCCCACATGGTGGATGATGCCTTAGTGAGAACAATTACAGACACAGCTAGAGGACACATTAACTTGAGCCTGTCTATCTCCAGCACCATTCTCTAAAGATAAAATAGTCCCTAGTAGGGTTTTAGTTTGTAGTGCATTTAAAGCTATTCATCCGCTGTCACAAGTGATGCTCTGAGTCAAGGTTTTGAGAACTGGACTACACAGCTTTGCTCTTTTTTTTTTCCAGCTATTGCATGAGCTGCAATGTTCAGAGCCATGGCCATATATTTTCCCTGCTTCTGCAATATTCCCATGCTGAGATTCTGAGCTGATGTTTAAACTACCTGCTACTTGTTTCTACTACTGTGGCCCCTCGCAAAAACCCCAATAAGCTGTGGAAGCATTTACCACAGTCTTGAGAAAGGAATGCTTCCAGGAATTAGGTTACAGTGTCAGGAAATCTGTATTTCTAGTACTGCCTCCCAAGAGACTTCTATTTACACCAAATTCCAAGAAGGGGATTATGAACAAGTTATTGATTTCAATCTTGGAAGCCTTTTGTTACTGTTTGGAGACTACTGGGGCACAGGTTTCCGAGGGGCACAATTAAGTTGGAAGGCATTTAGCTTCCTTCAGGAGGCACTGGGTCTGCACAGGACTTAGCCCTTGGAAAGAAAAGCTTTCACTTCACTGACTTGAGCTTCCCCTAAAGTACAGAAGCTCAATATAATACAGGCTTGCTGTTGTCACCTCAGGTGGCAGCCTACCTCTGGAACACACGCAGTATATGCACAAGTGTGTGTGTGTGTGTGTGTGTGTGTGTGTGTGTGTGTGCGCACGTGTGTCTATGTTGAAATAGCCTAGCTTTTGTCACAATGTGGGGAAACTCCTTGTGAGTGTACACTGACCTTAAAGTGCTGGTATTTATAAGCACAATTGGAAATGATGTATTAATGGCACCATCTACTTAAGACTGTAAAAGCTTAATATATGTCAGTGCATGTTTTAATACACTGCGTGCTGTTTGCTGTTTTTCTGAGGCAGGAAAGGATTGTCAAGTGTATTGACATCTGAGTAGCTTTCATCCTCGAAGGACATTCCATGACATATAGTTAGTGCAGGATTATAAAGAACAGATTAATGGCAGATAATTTTAAGTATAATACTGGATGTAGAAAACTCAAACTCCAGAAATGCTGCTCAAAGTTGGTTTCAGATGCAGTTGAACATATCTTGGAATCTTACAGGCACAAAACTATAAGCAGTTATTTTTCAACTATGTAACAACTGCCCAGCTACTTACTCAAACAGCAAGAGATGTGCAACTGGATGAGAAAAAAGGCTAAAAGAAACTTGACCTTCTTCTTGCTCGCTCTGTACACTCCTCTTTTAAACAGGACCTGATGATCAGTAAGAAGCTGTACATGAGCCTTTTTCTGGGGCTGCTACTGTAAAACCTGTGCTTTTTGCTAATATCTGTCTTCCAAACTCCCCAGTTACACTAATGTAGCACAGCTTCAGCGGGATTTTTGTTGGCATGTGCATACTGGGAAGGGAAGGATTTATTACTTACATCACCAGCCTGGGCCTTACTCTGTAACTGAGATTATTAGCAAATGGCTATAACCAATCCGGGGCGTGGTGCTTCCCATCATTACTGTCAATTACGTGGGCAAGATCCATACAGCAAAATCAGGGCAACTGGGAGAAATTGCATGTCATCAGCAAGCTACAACTTGAAAATGAAGCCTATAATGATGATGCCTTTTGGCTATGGAACATGAGGGAACAGTGGGCATTTGTGCATGATCTGCAAATACAAGAGGTGAGGGAGAAAACAAAACAAAGTAGAACAACTTGCTCAAGGTGTATGCAGCCAGGTGAAATCCTAGTGCCAGCATTTCTGCCATCCAGCCACTTATGGGCAACTACTGTAGTCAAATGCACACCAACATCATTTCCTAACCAGAAAACCAGCTTGTAATTAAGAAAACAAAGAGGTAAAAACAGGTGAGCTGCTTCCAGCCAGTCATGGCCAAGGACACTTGTGTTGAATTAAGAAATTTTGACATGCTGAGGCCAACAGACATCCACCTCTCCTTCCCTCCTTAACATATGCTATCTATGATTTTTTTTTTGTAATCTCCCTCTCCTATACCCAAATCATGTCTTTAAGCCTTATTCTTATTAGAAAAACAGCCAAGACAGCAGTAGCCTCAGCTTCAGTGTTTGAGAGAAAAGCCTCAGCAACGCAACCAGCAAAACTTGTGCACTTACATTACAGCTTAGAGAATTTATTTTCTTGTCATACATAAAGAAGCTTCTATGATTATCACAATTCTTAGTCCTGCTTTGTTTATTCACCTGCAGAAGCTGTTTACCTCCTACATACTGTCACAAACATCATCACATAATTACACTATCTCATCCAAATCAGAAGGCTCAGAACCAATCCAGTCATTTGCTGAGAGTGATGATTTCAGCAACTTTCCTGTAGAAGACAATACACCAACCTTTCCCCATAGCAATAAACTATGAAGGTACCTTCATCATCTATTCATTGACACACTGGAACATTGCCACTTAAAACAGAGCTGAAGTGCCATCATTGCATCATTATTTCTCCAACGGCAGATAGCTATGCCCCACGTTTACTTATTAAAACCTTTTAGAATAAAAATAATGTGCCACTGAGTGGCTTTCCAACGTCTACCATTACCTCAGGTACCTGGAATGTCAGGGAAAAAAAAAAATCCCCATCTGGTTTATATTATTAATGCAATAGTGGAAAAAAAAACTTAATCTATGTCCTTGACAAATCTCTAGTGCTCATATGAAAGATGCATTTTATTAGGGCATTCACACTATGCATGAAGCACAGAAACATTACTTATAGTCTATAATACTTGGCATTTAAATTTCTTCTGAGAAAAGTTACTATTGCTCAGTGTGATGTGCTGAAGATGTAACTAATCCCACATCTCATGGGAATGTGAATACCCTGTGGAAAACAATACCTGGAATATTTTAGGTGAACAACTGTTTGTTTTTCCCATGAGTCACACCTGTACCCCTGCATTACAGTTAACTCATGACTGAAATGTGCTGTGGAGAACAATATTTTCTTTGAATTTTGGAAAAAGCTATGCTATAATTAATATGAAGGAACAGCTTCCTCTCCAACACCTGAGTATTTGAAGCTTTAAGAAGCCTGTCATGATGTCAGATTTCTGACACCTTGGCCTTAGAAAACTGGCCTCAATACTGAGTTTCTTACTGGGATTTATCTGTTCACTTTCCTCTGCTTCCCTGAGCTAAGGACACCAGGTGCAGGTGTGTGCCAATAGTGATAGAAAGGCTGGGGCAGGGGGAGGGCAAAATTGACAAAAAAAACCCAAACAACCCCAAACCATGTCAATTGTGTACCAGACTTGTTAAAACTCTTTTTAATCACATTGGCTTAGAATGCCTCTACTACTTATTCAGAGTCTGGAGTGCCTCTTTTACTTTGTGTCTTAGTGCTTATTAAAGCTCATCCGTTCTCCTCAGTGTGCACTGTGTCCTCCAAACTTCATCGCTGCTGGATGCATTTACACTGTGTGCACTGGGGTCTTAGTGCCCTCCCACTCCATAAACGCTAGTTCTGTGGTGATGCCTAACAGATTATATCCCTTCACACTGTCCCCAGGTGTTGAGTCACCATTGGGTGGCCAAGCACTTGCTTTTCTTCCTGTAACACCATTCAGAAAGCAGCATTATCTTGCCCCACTACCTAAAAAATCTGCACAAAAGCTGCAAGAGCAATTATTTTCTTCCATGAATTGGTGTAGCCAGCAGCTCTCCTCTCAGGGATGATCTGGGGGCACCCAGGGGCTGGTTCAAGTCCCCTTCTGTGTGTGTTCAGGGGACAACTGCCACTTTAGAAAAGGTTAAAGTACTCAGCAGTGGACAGGCTATGCACGGGCTATTTTAATTTTCATGAGCCTTATTTATGCACTTCATTTCCACACCTAGTTAAAAGCTACTTAACCCCTTGGCAGTGTTGGAACACTTGCTAAAGTTGTCTAGATTAAGCAATATTTATTGCCATTCTCTAGCACAGCCTGATCTGGTGATTATGAGGCCTCCTTCTAAACCAGCCATTCCAGGTATGCGCAGCTCAGACACAAGCTGATATATCCTATTAACTTATTTTCGCTGTCTCTGGCTGGGGCTCTAAAGGTGCCAAAGGAAGGTGGTTGCCTAAACCTCATGTCCTCTTGGTGCTAGCTGGGCTACTCCTACTCCTTTTGTTTGTGTAGTATTTAATGGAATATGTCTGTCTTTCCCACAGTGAAAAGAAAGTTCTATCCATTCAAGCAGAACCTTTGGAAAAGCAAGCCTTTGTTTCTCATTTTTATAACTCATTTATAATGTTTAGGCCATTCCGTGATAAATGAAGATCCAGAGGCAATGGCTTGAGTAATGCTAGGCTTGTGTGCCTGTTGCAGCTTTGGTAAAACCAGAAACATGTGAGAGAGGGGTTTTTTCCTTTTTTTTTTTAAATCCTCACCATCTTTTGCTAAGTCTAGTCACATAGCACCGACATTCTAACCAGTCTGTGATTAATTAGCCAGAGATCTGCAACAACTCCTCTTCATGACTAAATATTTTTTTAGTCTATCAAACTGTTAGTGCAAAGTGGGATAAATGACACTAGAGGGCCAATGATCCTGACCTGGAGGTTCTGTTGCTCATTGAGGCTCCAGATGCTGAGCACCTTTTCAGATGAGCCCGAGATCCCCTTGGCCTTCTCCGAGTCAAAGTCAAGGCTCATCACCGGCTCCTGGTGGCAAACAAGTTGGCTCAACGCTTTTGCCATTGACAAATTCCAAAGGACCACTGATCCATCTTCATAGCCAGCCAGAAGCAAAGGTTGTGAACCACAGTCGAGCTGAACAAGGGAAAAGTAAAATTGTTTGAGAAGTAAATACTCTGTTAGGAAAATTATCATCCCCAAGTAGGTTTCAGGCACCAGGAAAATAAATGAAAATGCTGACTGGCATAGAAGTGAAAAGTTTAGAAGCCTGAATGTGAAATCTCAATAGTCCATCCACTTATAAAAAGTGTTACTAGTTAACTGCTGACACGCACTTAGGGTTTTTATATCTACAGATAAAATTCTGGTTTTTATTTATAATGTATAGCTAACATATATATATATATATATATACACACACATACACACAGAAAATTTCCCTCTGAAAATCCAAACTATTGACCTCTACAACACCTGAAAAAAAAGGCTGCCTGAAGTTTTCAGAAGCTTTACTTCACAGCCTGAACTTTGCTTGTGCTCCTTAAAAAAAAAGAAAATACTTAGAGTGAGTTACTATCAAGCTGTACAAACCCGCATGGACACGGAAAGAAGTGCCATGCTTGGAGATTCCAGTTTCACAGTGCGAGTGTAGGGTTACACAGGGATCGTTTGCCCAAGTGCACCACAGTGCTTAAAGGTAAACACTGAACCTCTCCTCAGGAATCTCTGGGTGAGTCACCAAGGGGTTAACGGGCGCCCAAGTTCCAGTGTAACCAATTGAAAGCTATTTTGATTAATGATGTCACAGGCCAAAGGGCACGGCACCCTGGGCAGACACCTAATTTATTTAAGCCTCTGAAATAACTCAAAGAAGGGAACATTACTGGATTACATGTCACACTTAAGGAAAATATTCATCATTGCTCCAGCCAAAAGACTAATGACCCCGTGAGCAGTAACTGGTTACGTGAGTGAAGATGCAAATCCCTAATGAAAAGCAACTAAAAACCAGGCATCTGTTAATGCCAGTTATTTCTTTAATAGGAGAAGAAACACCAAAATAGACTTTGGGATTACAACCACCTCATGTAGGGACATCTTACCCTAAGAAATATATCCAGTAGCTTATTCACCTCTTTCCAAACACCATCTGATCCTACAGGATTGGTTTGCTTGGTATTCAGCTCAAAATAAAGGTAAAGGACATTTATAAAGAATTAATTTTTACTTGAATATCGAATGTTTGTCAAACCCACTGGCTGTCAGTGTCATGACACAAACCTGCAGTGGCCAAAGGCTCACTGCCTCTATTAATGGTCCAGACTATTCTCCCACTGGTTATTATTTGTTCTGCAGGGAGTTAAACTAACAAGAGATGGGTGGTCTCAGTAATCAGACTGCTGCGGAAAAGCCTCATGCTCCTTCTCAGATTTATTCAGCCTAAAGAAGTGTTTAAATGGCTCTCACTGAGCAGGGAAGAAAATTGCCCCTTAAGAAAAGGAAACCAAGGGGAAATCCCTTACATCATCTCTCTGAACAGGTCTGCCCACACCTGGGATCCTGCAGGAGCCTCATTCCTTGCTTTACGATCCCTTTTCTTTTGCAGAGGTAGGGAGCATGCTCTGGCTAGAAAGGTCCACAAAGAAGGTCTCTCATAATGCTCAGAACTCCACAATTTTTCTGTTAATTTTTTGATTTGCTAAAATAATACAACATCAGAGCAATGAATATATGCCAAATAGATGTGAAGTAAAGTGTATTTTGGATGAAGAGTACATGGTATTTTGGATGAAGAGTACATGGTATTTTGAATGAAGAGTACATGGTTTTTAATAGCAGGGGAAAAGTTAAAAAAAAAAAGAATGAAATGAACATTCCAGATTTTATTTGTATTTAATAAAGGGTAAAACCTTCAAAGCAAAACAAAGTATTTCATAGGTACTTCAGTTATGTTTTAAAAAAGCCCCCAGTTTGGGCATAAGCCCTGCCACCCCATTACTTGTGCTGCTCTTGTATGAGCACGGCTCCTCCAGAGCTCTGGGGCTCTACAGAAGGTATTGCTTTCACTGGCCAATGAGACAAGGTTTGGATGGGCAGGGTCAGCTCCTCTGCCTGACTCAGAACGGGATGGCCAGATGTTCATAGGTGCTCCTAACCCTCGTTAAGATAAGAGAGACAGGTGAGTGCACAGCATTATGGGAAATGCCAAGCAAAACTTTTTTTTTCTTTTTTTTTTTGGTGCTGTGGGTATCTTAGCTTGTATTTGCAAACCAGTAGTTTGCAGGTGAGATCTAAGACTGGTCTACTTTAAAAACAAAGTATTGCCTTTGAAATGAAGGTCTCCTACACTTCTTCCTAACTTTCCATAACCATATGAAGTGTAATATTTCAATGAGTACATATACTTGAACTTAAACAGTAAAAGCTACTGATAGATCAGGGGAGCTCTCAGTTGATGCCTGGACTCACCAAGCAGTGGTTCACAACGGCCCGTTTATTTCAGTTCCCAATAACAGACACTTCTGGTGAAGTATTCACCATCCATGTTTTGGTTTCAGTGGAAAAATTAAATTATAAATCACTGTTATTCCTAAGCAGAACGTTTTGTTGTTGCGTTTGGATAACTGTCAAGGAAGGAAGAAAAGGTGATCTGCTGTCAACTCAACAGGAATAATTGCTATAGTTTATATAAAGTAATAACTTTGTGTTTCCAGTTTCTACATGTATTATTCCTGTTGAATTATTTTGTTTGCTCCATTACGCAACATGATGCCTTCCCCAAGGAGTGCAAAAAATTAAAGGGAAGACTATCCTTACTCCTGCATATCCTACCCCACCCAATTAGTAATAGCAGGAAGGTGTGAAGCTGAAGGGACAAGGTATTTAACAATATGAACCTTCACAAGGGAAAAAAACCCCATGGAATGAACTAAGAGGACAGACCCAGTAAAATGAGGGGAAAAAAAAAGTTTCAATCCACCAAAATAAACAGCTGCCAGCTTTTTAACTGCTTAGGAGAAGCCAGTGAGGCTTAATCTACAAGCCTAACCTAAGCCTCAGTTTCCTTCTGCTCTATAGTAAAATTTCTACTTCATACTGCTGCTGCTGGTGAAAAATATCATGATCCAGGGCTGCAGCCCCCAAACTCTGTTGGACAACAACCCTGAGCATGCTTCCTTCAGCCCATTATGTGGCTTTCTCCATGTCAGCTTTTGTTTCAACTTGTTAATTAATGGTGCCATAAGCAACCTCCGATAGTCTCTTAGGCAACACGTTGCCCATAAGCGATGGGCTGGGGAGTGCTCGTCTCCTGGGTATGTGGATATTGCCCAATGCAGTGATGTACACAGAAATCCTGGACGGCCTCTATTCAGGAAGGGGTGCAGCTGGGTTAGCTCGTGTGCTTCGGCTTTTATGGTTAAAGGGTTACTCAGCGCGCCACTTCCAGCGAAACCACAGAAGAGAACGCAGAGCATCACTTCGGTACACCACATATAATTATTTGCCCTTAAGGATATCCTCCTCCCCCATGCCTTCAAACCGAGCTGCACACATTTGTAAAAGAGAAAATACAGCTGTGAGACTGTACGGGATTATCTGTCCTTGCCTGTTGCAGTCTAGGAAGTTGTGGTGACTTCCCAAAGCCAGAATTTGTATGGAATAATTTACCTCTCCCAGTTCCCAGTCCTCTGCTTTATCCCCACTGGCAACAAAATTAAAAACTACATAAAATTAAGACTCTGCACCTGCTCTGCTTCCTAGAGGAACAGCAATATTACTGCACGCAGAAAACATGGCAAGACAGAGGACTTTTTATACAGGCAACAAAATTTTCAACACTGAACATTTCCTCAGTTATCTTCATCTTATTAAAATATGTCCAGAAGACAGAAAGCCCCATTCATTTCATTGAGTACTGAACACTGACTGCATTTTCAGGAGAAACTTTCTGTTTAATAAAAGCCTAATCAGTCTCTTTAATTTTCCTTCTAAATTTTTTTTCTAGTTTTTAATTACACCATGAGACTTGAACTGTGGCCTCTCCTACTTTTTGTCTGAAGTCAGCACCTGAATTCCTCTAGACTTCAGTTGGTTCAGGACCTTGAGGGAAGACACTGAGGCCTCAAATTCACAACTGATTTTTTTTTCAACTGAAACCAATACAAATGTTCGGATGAGCCTGCAGGAATGAGAGACTTGAAATCAGCTCAGATGGCTCTGCAGACCTATGACCATATGTGGTCAGGGGGTTAAACTGGGAATCAGCTTTGTCACCAGTTCTTTGGAGGTTTAGAGCCAATCCCCTAAACTCCTTCCTCCCTCTACTGCCACCTTTTTGTATTACTTGTCTGTCACTGGTGGCACCCCATAAACATTATTTGCTGAATGTTCTGCAAATGTGGGGTTTTTTCATTAACTGCTTTTATTTACCTTTTTGTCCAAAGTCAATACAAGCATTAATATTTTGTTCCTATTCTGTCTCTGGAATAGAAATGTTCATAGAGTGCGTCCTTGTCCTGAGGGCACTGAAGTGAATGTAACCTGCCATTAAAATCACTGTTTTTAAGTAACCCAATAGTTTCTTATCATTCTTAATGCAGTGAGAAACCGTATCAAACAACTGGCTTTGGTAAGTCACTCCTTTTCCTCGATTGATGCAAAAACCATCTCTATCCTAAGGATACAAAGCTTTCCCTGAGCATTTGCAAATCTTCCATTAAAGCTTGGAAAGCTCTGAAAGTTTAAGGATGTTCACAAATCTTTCCCCCCTTTAATAGTATAATTACTTGATTGGTTTGATAATAAATCAAAATCCAAGTGAAGAAAGATTCATGTGCTTCATATAAAATGAATCACAGGGAAAACATTTCACAATTAGCAGGAGCTCTTGCCTTACCTGCCATAACTTCAGACACATGGGCATGCCCAGCTTGGCACCCACCTCTGGCTTCAAGGTACAGACTGACGTCTTGGATGGCAGCTCCAAAACCTGAACCTGACATCAGGAAAACAAGAGTATTTGGTCAGGCTCCAGGTCAAAATTCTGCTGTTAAAACCCCAAGTCTTTTAAAGTGATTAAGGCTAGTATAAGCTCTTCCAGTAAAAGCTGGAGGAAACTGAGGAATGGGGAACCTACCGCTATCTACATAAAGGCATTGTTTTAGGAAAGATCAGACAAAACGACTAGAATGAACACATTCTCTTCTTCCACTCTTCTATTTACTCTGTATTATAGTCTCCTTTCCATACAGCAGATGATACTGTGCATACACTAGATAATATTGCAAACTGCTTAATCTGAAAACACCTCCCTGCTTCCTCTCCCTTCCCTCTCTTTCCATCTCTGTTGCTAATTTTTTTGTTATATTCACTTGTGGACACTTGCATTGCCTGCCCTGTTCTGTTATGGTAACACAGAGCTTGCACAGAAATACAGGCTATATCTATACAGATCTATATATATCTATATATCTAAGGCAGGGGTTTTATTTACTGGCTGACTGGACTAACAAACATAAACCCAGAATTATCTGCTAATGCAGGCTGGCAGTGATGGCATACAGGTATTTTTAACACAATATTGTCTGACCCTGTTCAAAGTAAGGTTGGACAATATTGTGTTAAACACCTGCTCTCTGTCTACACAGCAGCTTCCACTGTTGCTTGCACCAATGGTGATGAATTATGGATCTGAGGTGTTTTTTTTTCTTTTTAGCATGGGGTAACTCTTTTCTCTGCCAAGGAAGTAGCTCATTTCCACCTCAGGATGATGTCAGGCAAGATCAGGAGAGTCTGCCTTTGCAATTTGGCACTGGGAGGTTTTGAGTCTCTTGATTGACATGGAAGTGCCTCACTCTGGGCTGGTTCTCAAGCCTGGAACTAGGGAGAAATAGAAGTTCTTAGGTATCAAAAACGTGCTGCCAGGAACATCGCTGTTCTCAGGTGCATACTTAATCACTAAGGTGATCTTTTTATTTTAATCAATTAACCAACGGTCTGCATTTATCTAGTAAAATTAAAGGACTTAAACATTCGGCAAATCCACCAGCCATTTTAGGCTATTTCAAAATGTGCAAAAGTCCAGCAGTGCCGTTGGACAGCCCCAGTCACGCAAACTTCCTTAAGCATCCGAGATGAGGTATTACACAAATATGGCTCCTCTGGGAGCCATCGATCACAACCGCGGCAGCTGCGATGGCTTTCCAATCCCATACCTTTAGTTCAAAGCTTGCCAGAACATCTTCCTATTTCTAGAGGTTGTCAGCTAACCTGCCAAAAGCCAGCTGCACGCTAGGACTGCAAGTCGACAATGTACTAAACACAATATACAGAACACTTTCTAAAGCCACTTAACAGTGCAGCAGGAAACTATTCTCCAGATTTGAGGGTTGGGAGACTACAGCAAAGAGCCAGCCAGTGCGCAGACCAAACCTGTGAAGAGACCAAAGTTTGATCATCTGGGAATTCTGGTTCTTTGGAGCTACACTCTTAACAAGAGATGCTTTTCTCTTGGCAACTTTCTTGCTAACAGCACAATGACCAAGTTAGCTATTGCAGGAAATGGGCTCTATATATCAAGATGATCTGCTCTCCTCTTGCGTCTTTCATCACTGTCTCTCCAAAGGGCAAGACTGAAACTGCAACTTTTAAGTAACAAGGAAGGATAAGGAAGAAAGTGTTAAAAAAAACCCCAACAGGTAAAAAACGAAACAAAACCAAAACCACCTTTGCTTTACTTTGATTAAAAAATGGACAAACTGGTACAAGGGCTACAGCTGCACTTGCAAAGGACAAAGAAAAACACAGTAAAACCACATTTTCTCAAAAAAAGAGAAAAGCTTTTTGCAGAAGGCAGGCAGGCAAGAGCTGCCTATGCCAGATTGACAGTTCCAGAGACTGCCTGCATTACAGGCAACTGAGCCTTAGAAATAAATACTATTTCATATATTTTGACAACTGTAACCTAAAACTTGAAGTTCTGTGTTTATATTGGTTTTGCTTAATAGAAGAAAGATTTGCCTTTACCTGAGGTTAATAGTGTTCCTGGGTGGCTAAAACTGGCCACAAGGAAACACACCCTTTTTCTTTTTCACATTAATAAGGCTTTTAACATGTTTCTGGCAAATTGGCAAGAAAAGTGCGTGTAACTCATAATTGGTGATTTAAATGCAATCATGAACAAATAAATGCCTGTTCAGATCTCATTATTTATGGACTGAACCTGCTTTAAGACAAAATTACTCTTTTTTTGGGCACCAGCCAAGCATAAACACTTATTAAGTCTTAATTTTAATCATAAGCTGCAAATGTACTGTGTCTCACACAGTGCTGCCTATTTGGAAGCACTATATATTATGGGAGCTTATGTGAATTTATTGAAACCTGACACAGTTCTAATGTGAAGGTTCATACACGGAGTGGAACTCTCTTACCTCAGGAGACAGCAAATCATTATCAGTTTGCAGGGCTCAAGCAAATAAATGAAAATAAAACAGAGATGAGTTGTAGGAGACATTGGGGTAAATGTCTTCTCTTTGGATCAGATGATTGTTTAATTCCTCATTGCCAGAATGTGTGTGTGTACTCTGCCTGACACAAAAACTCTTCACCGCCTGACACAAGAATGCACTTGTCAATTTTGTTTAACTTAAATATTATTGAGCACTGCTGTAAAATGGAGAGAGTTCTTTGTTTGATCAGCACAATGTATGGCCTTAGAATGGTTGTATTTACTGGTACAGTGGTTGTGTCTACAGCCCTACTCAGTTCTGTAAAAGGCTGAACGTTCTGGCTGTGAGCCAACGAAATACTAAATATGTGCTTAACTTCTGAATAATAAAAACTTCACATTTTCTTGCAAAACAGGCACCATTCCCACTTATTACTTCGTATATAAAATATGCAACTTTCAGTTTCAAGAGATGCATCCTATAGTCCAGAAAAGCATGTGACCTTTTACGTTCATGAACAATTTGCAATTAGCTACATATTTCTTTTCATATTTATTCCACTTTTTTTTCATATTTTTTGTATTTTTATGTCAAGTGTTTGAAATAATTTATTTTTGTGTGATGTCCTCAAATAGTTCTTCAAAGAAAACAAAAACACGATTTCTACAAAGCAGAAGTGGACATTGCCAACAAAGCTGTCAGTCAGTGGGTGCTGTGACAATGGGTATTAGATGTGGACTTACCCAGTAGGAACTGAAACGGACCCTACAGTTGTTTCACCCTGAACACACCTCTGGCCGCTAATAATAATTCAACTATTTCCAGCCAAAGTACAGGTTAAAGAATTAGCCCGGGGTGAAAGACCACATACCGCATTACAAATCACCTGCACCTCCCCTTCTCTCACCAAACATGACTTTCAGCTTCAGATGGAAGATGAGTACCTCCATCTGATGACAGACTTTCTGACCATTAGTTCCCCAGAAGGACTCTTGTTCCCCTTTAACAGTGCTCAGCGGCACCAGAGGAGTTTTCAAAACTCCTGCACATGAAAGACCAGCAGCAGCTGCAAATACTTACATGTCAGACAAATCTTGGGGTGGTGTCCTTGTTATTAGAGCATGAGTTATATAATTCAGTGATCTTTCTGGCAGGTAAAATTAGTGATTAGAAGCCCCAAAGGCTCCTTGCGCTGCCCTCTCTTGCACAAGAGTATTTGAGCACAATGATGTTTCCCCTTCTGAACTATCTCATTTCAAAACCAACAGCAATCTCCCGAGCACCAGAAAAAGAGATATTTCCTACCTCCTCCAGGGCTTTGGCTGCCATGGCCATTAGCCAGCGTCCCTGTGCCACCTTTAACAGAGAGCATCTGCAGAATCCCACGTTCTCAGTGAAGACAGAATCCGTCACTGACGTCCGTCCCTCTGCTAAATCCCACAGGCAGATCCTCTGGTCACGACCCTGACTGTTAGAGTAAAACACGTTATCCATGAGCAGCAGGTCTGGGGAAGCCTGGCTTCCTGCAGATTAGTATCTCAAAATCGGGTCTTTAAGACGCAGTAAAGGCGTGGGCTTACTACAGCATCTGCAGGGGTATTAATTGGGTCTTTCATGAAATGAATCACCCAGACCACCACCCTTCTACTGCCTGCAAAACTGGCCAATAGGTTCCAAAGTCACCAGGAGGAGGGAGGACCCAAGAGTCAGTCGGACACAGTTAGCCAAGTTGTCTTTGAAGTGAGACTTGACCAAACACAGTTACGCTATTTATATGTGCACATATATTGAAGAAGTCTCATGAGTATTTGAACATTTTCATAATAAAAATACTTACATTTTACCATTGATTAGCTCTAATTTAAAAGGAAACAAAAGTATCCAGAGAGTAA